GCCTTCCCGCGGGCGCCGCCATGTTGGCGCGGGGGGGTCCGCGGCGCTACCGGAGCGCGACGGATTTTGGGGGGAAAAAGGGGAAAAACGGGGAGCGGCCGAGGCCTTAATTTGGAAACACTCCAAAATTGAGGGGTTTTTCCCTCCCCAGGTCTTAGGATGGAAGCGTCATTGATGACGTCACTGAGAGGGAGGGCCCCCCGCAAAGCCCGGGGGGGCGGGGTCGGCGGCCCCTCGTTTGCCCAATAGGACCCCGAGGAGAGCGCGGCCTCCAGGACCCCTCCTGGCCCCGCCCCCTCACCCGTGGCCACGCCCCCAACGGGGGGCGGGCCCTGTGTTGTCCCCGCCCCCCTTAGGACCCGGACGCCCGGGCCCCTCCCAATAGTGGGCGGGGCCTGGGGGGTCCGGGTCATTCCAGGCCAATTTGGGTTATTCCAGGGCAATTTGGGTCATTCTAGGCCAATTTGGGCCATTCCAGGCCAGTTTGGGTCATTCCAGGTCTGTTTGGATCATTCCAGGCCAGTTTGGGTCATTCCAGGCCAGTTCAGGTCATTCCATACCAATTTGGGTCATTCCAGGCCGCCCTGTCCCCTACATGTCCCATGTCCCCTATGTGTCCATGTCCCTCATGGATCCACGTTCCTCCTGTCCCACAAGTGTCCCCTATGTGTCCATGTCCCTCCTGTCCCCTATGTGTCCCATGTCCCTCCTGTCCCCTATGTGTCCCCTGTCCCCTACATGTCCCATGTCCCCTATGTGTCCATGTCCCTCATGGATCCACGTTCCTCCTGTCCCACAAGTGTCCCCTATGTGTCCATGTCCCTCCTGTCCCCTATGTGTCCCATGTCCCTCCTGTCCCCTATGTGTCCCCTGTCCCCTACATGTCCCATGTCCCCTATGTGTCCATGTCCCTCATGGATCCACGTTCCTCCTGTCCCACAAGTGTCCCCTATGTGTCCATGTCCCTCCTGTCCCCTATGTGTCCCATGTCCCTCCTGTCCCCTATGTGTCCCCTGTCCCCTACATGTCCCATGTCCCCTATGTGTCCATGTCCCTCATGGATCCACGTTCCTCCTGTCCCACAAGTGTCCCCTATGTGTCCATGTCCCTCCTGTCCCCTATGTGTCCCATGTCCCTCCTGTCCCCTATGTGTCCCCTGTCCCCTACATGTCCCATGTCCCCTATGTGTCCATGTCCCTCATGGATCCACGTTCCTCCTGTCCCACAAGTGTCCCCTATGTGTCCATGTCCCTCCTGTCCCCTATGTGTCCCATGTCCCTCCTGTCCCCTATGTGTCCCCTGTCCCCTACATGTCCCATGTCCCCTATGTGTCCATGTCCCTCATGGATCCACGTTCCTCCTGTCCCACAAGTGTCCCCTATGTGTCCATGTCCCTCCTGTCCCCTATGTGTCCCATGTCCCTCCTGTCCCCTATGTGTCCCCTGTCCCCTACATGTCCCATGTCCCCTATGTGTCCATGTCCCTCATGGATCCACGTTCCTCCTGTCCCACAAGTGTCCCCTATGTGTCCATGTCCCTCCTGTCCCCTATGTGTCCCATGTCCCTCCTGTCCCCTATGTGTCCCCTGTCCCCTACATGTCCCATGTCCCCTATGTGTCCATGTCCCTCATGGATCCACGTTCCTCCTGTCCCACAAGTGTCCCCTATGTGTCCATGTCCCTCCTGTCCCCTGCATGTCCCACGTCCCCTGGGTGTCCATGTCCCTCCTGTCCCCAAATGTCCCGTGTCCCTCCTGTCCCTTACATGGCCCCTGGGTGTCCACGTCCCTCCTGTCCCCAAATGTCCCATGTCCCTCCTGTCCCCCCATCCCAATGTCCCCTGCGTGTCCATGTCCCTCATGGATCCAGGTCCCTCCTGTCCCACAAGTGTCCCCTATG